AAAAAAAAAAAAAAAAAAAAAAAAAAAAAAAAAAAAAAAAAAAACAAAAAAAAAACACGTGTATAAATGTATTTTCTTAAAAAATAAAAAAAAAAGAAGAAAAAACCGCTGAATGTAATCTTGCGCGAGCGTAAAATTATACCCGCAAACTGCCGAAGTAGCGCGCGAGTTCGTTCCGGGGGTAGGAGACGGAGTATAGCCATTAAAGCCGACGAGCGTAATTGCCAAAGAGAGTAAAATAAAAGAAAAGTAGAAGACGCCCGAAAAGCTGGCACAAAGTTCGGCTTGCACCGGCGAAGCTCGCGGGGGTACATACATACAGGTATACACGGATTATAATATATATAATGTAGCGTGACAGGATGTGCTTGCAAAGTCGGGCGCACGCGACTTGGCCGCACACACACGTCGTATCCATCGATTTTCCTCATGTTATACCCCGCGGTGTGCTATAGCTGGCATATATACATATACACACTTGTAAGTATTATCGGCCGTATATCGCGTAGGAGCCGCCCCCTTGGAAACCGACGACCGCATATGGCACGTATATATAGATACGTTTTTTTTTTTTTTTTTTTTTTTTTTTTTTATCAAGCCCCCAGATAGCCAAGAGAGCGCGTGCAGGTACAACGTGCCGTGTCGTCGTCGCCACAATCTACCCCCTGTATACATACGTATATGCATAGGTACTAAAGAGGGAAAGGGAGTATATTTATATATACATATAAGGGGGTGGAGGAAGGAACACCTCGCGATATCATGCTACCGACGACGGTGAGGGCCTCGGGGTCCCGTTCTTCTTATTCGGGCTTGTGCCATCGCCACTTGACTGCCGCTCCCTACGTCGTTCGCAGCTATCGTCACTGCCTCGTCCCCAACACCGGGAGGTATCATCGTAACTCGGTGCCGTCGGCTCTTTGCGGCCACGGTTATTGTCGCCGATACACCTACTGCAGCGGTGGATCCGCGGCTCGTACCTACTGCTCTGCTGCTGGACGCGACAACTCCTCGGCGCTTTTCTTCACGCCGGCTTGCTGCGGCCGCATGAAGACGCGGTAATTGCCAATCACTGCAGATACTTGTATCATCGATCGTGATTCACTTGGTCAATAATCATAAATGGCACACCCAAAGCACTTTTCGTTCAATCGGCACATTGTATTTTTTACATATTATGTTGTACGACGCATTTTTTGCTTTGCTTTCTTTTGTTGTAATTTTACACGTGAAATAACGCAAATTTTGCACATTTGTACGTAGGTTGGGAAAGACAAAAAAAAAAAAAAAAAAAGGAGGGATCTCGTAAAGTCTCGTGCGCTCGAAGCGGCCGAGGTTTATTAATATTTAATAAAGCCGACCGTGTGAGTCACCGGACGCGGCGATGATTCAGAAAATGTACCTTTTTCTCTCTCTCTCTCTCTCTCTCTCGAAAAAAAAAAAAGAGTATTGATTTTTATTAAATTTACGATTAGTCCAGAGCTTTTACGAAATCGCGCGGATGACCGAAGCCGATTTTTTACTTTCCAATAATAATATAGTCCTCTTGGCGCGCGACAGCTTCTAAACATTTTTTAATTTTTTACACCTGATACATATTTGATCATAAAAAGAAAAAAAAGTAATTTTCATGGTTCTATATACATATTACCCGCACGTTATTTCTAGTATTCAATTTATTTGCTAAATTTAACTCTGTTAAACGCTACAAGAGCGTAAATATATGTATAATTTTCGTCCCAAACACACAAGCATATTCCTATACAGTTGACGTGTATGCAAAGTACCCCGATATCGACCTAACTTTAGCGTCTTTCCACAAATATGTAATAAAATTCAAAAAGCCGCGATAAATTTCCCCGGCCCCCTTTGGCATTGCTATAGACGTACATATAACGCGCTCTCCAACGCGACTCAATTGCAATATTCGTTTGAACGCCATCGGTTCTATCTAAACGATATTCAAATTCGCGATGACTTTTCGCACGAATTTTCAGAAAAACGAGTAGCGCATACAAAATGGACGCGATGAGAAAGAAGTACCCGAACCACACGGAGCTGGCGTATCGCGAGGCAGTGTCCAAGCTCAAGTACTTCCTCGCAGAGTCGTACGCGCCCAGCAGCAGGACCATCATTTCGTACGTCGATCAACGATAAACCAAAATCTCATCCTAAAATAATAATGCAAGCGCGTTGATTGCACGTTGTCTCCCATGCAAATATAGAACTCTGCAGCCTCTGTACACGGGCAAGAGACCGTACAGGTCGGACACCAACGCCGAGGAGTACAACGACGAGGACGCGGACGTGCAGAGCTTGGCGAGCGAAGCCTCGAAGAGAGACCCGCCGAGCAAGTACCTGCACGGGCCCCGGCTCGGTGGGATCATCCCGGCAGCGCCGAACGACAAGTCTCTGCAGGCAGCCGCGCCACCGCCCACCGAGTTGTTGTCCTTCATCGAGCGCCAGGAGGAGTACATCGAGCAGCTCGAGCGCGAGTCCCAGTACTGCAAGGACGAGCTGAAGGGCCTACTCGAGAAAGTCAAGGAGGTCGGTGTATATGGTATTCCATGATGGTTCCTTTGAAGGAACACATGATGTATTGTCGATGATGATTGATTGGTGGGTCAAAGGTGGTGGCGGAGAACGCGGCCCTGCAGGACAAGTACAAGAGCGGGCTGATGAAGACCGTCCTGATGGACGATTGGCCGGAGCAGCCGGTGGTGGAGGGAGCCGAGCGATCGGCCGCGGTGGCGCGCAAGACCGTCTCGAAGCCCCTGGAGGGGCCGAGTATCGTGTTCGAGTCGCGCATCGCCGAACTGGAGGCCCAGTTGACCCAAGCTCGGCTGGAGTTGCGCAAGGCGCGGGAGGAGAGCCAAGCGAGCATCGAGCGCCTCGCCGAGTTGCGCCAGGACAGCCATCAGCCCCAGCAGCAGCTGGCGGAGCTCGAGCGCGCCTCCCGGGAGAGGCGCGACCTCGAGACGAGGCTGGAGGAGTTGCAGCGCGAGCTCGGCAAGTCGCGGAGTCGGGACGCCGAGGTCGAGTCGAGGAACAAACGGGCGGCCGAGCTGGCCCAGCAGGCCGAGTACGAGAAGGCCCAGGCCGAGGCGGAGGTCAGACGGTTGAGGGAGGAGCTGGAGCGCAGGCAGGACAAGCTAAGGGAGACCCTGCAGGAGACGAATCGCAGGATAGCCGAGGAGAAGCAGCAGGTCGAGAGGAGGTTCAGCCAGCAGATGGAACAGCTGTCCGCGGATCTGGCGAGCCACTGGGAGGCGGCGAGCAAGTCGCACCTGGAAGCCGAGAAGCAACGCCGGGAGATTGCCGATCTCAGGCGCGAACTCGGCCAGCAGCGGGCCTACCTCGACGACCTCAAGAAGGAGATGCAGCTCAAGGCTTGTGAGTATATAAATCTATACATGTACATAGGCAACATGGTCATTGGGTCATGGTGGCGTGCGTGGGTGTGTTTAGCAAAAATGCAAGAGGAGCTGAACGAGGCCATAGCTCAGAAGGACGCGTCCCAGGAGGAAGTGGCCGCGGTGAAGTTGGCCGCCGAGAGGGCCGAGAGGCAGGCTCGGCAGGAGCAGGCTAGACTCCAGGCGGAAATCAACTCGTACAAGATGCGACTGGAGAGGGCCGACGCCGATCTCGTGCACGCCCGTCGCGAGAATCTTCGGCTCGGCGACGAGATCGCGGCTCTGGAAAAGGAGGTATACATAAATGCTCTCTTTTTTTTTTTTTCCTTTTCACGCGTTGCTCGTCCATACGATTGTCGAGGTCTTGTTGTTTATTGCTCAGATCAATATGAACAAACTGATGGGGGAGACTCGAGTGGGAGGCCAGCCGGGGAATCCTAAAGCAGACCGGGACATCAAGGACAAAGAGCTCGCCTCGCTGATTTTCGACCTGGAGAATCGGCAAGGTGAGGCAGAGATGAACAATATCCAATAGCGCAATGTGCAATTAATCATTCGTCGGACACGTTCATTGTAGCAATTGTCAGTTTAATACATGTGTCAATGTGGCCTGTGTTAGGTATATTGTCTGAGAGTTTCAAACAACTGCTTGAGCTTTTGAAAGTGTATATTATATACGTATTCACGCGTGTGAGACATCGGCGTATGTTTTAATATACTGACACTATGCCTAGCATGTGCCAGAGTGAGAAAAAACAAAAAATGAAATTTTAGTCAATAATCGATCGATTAACGAGTTTATCATTTGATGTCTCGAAACTGGCTTGTTGTTTCCCCCAGCGAAAACGGTCGCCAGTCTCGAGGAGTCATTGAACAAACAGGCCTCGCTCGTCTCGCGCCTCACGACGGAGTGCCAATCTCTCACACAGCGCTTGGAAGTTAACGACCAGAAACACAAGTACTCTACCGACATCCCCATTGTTTTTTTTTTCTTTCATTTTCCTCTTTTCATAAAACAACGTTTTAACTTGATAGTTGCACTCCACCGTAGTTGTAAAATAAAAAAATTTTTTTTAATCGCTAACCTGCAGTGTATGAATGCTCTTGTATACTCGTCTACGTGTATCCATATAATGGAAAACAAACGCACACAAGCACCCTGCATACGTACGTAGACGATAGCACACAATCTTGATTTTTTTTTTTTTTCTCCATAAGCCTATTTTGTATAATTAATTACCAGGGGGGGTCACCGACCATCAAGTTAATGACGATGCAAATGACACGAGCGCACTGCCTTTCGCTCTTAAGAAACGCCGTGTCAAGGTCGATCTCAAAGTTAAAGTTATTCCGAAAAGGAAGTCCTCACTATCGGAACCCCCCGACGCCAAGGTGGCTATATTACACGTACCTACATCCGTAGTATAGTATCTTTTATCTTATTAGTTATAAACATTCGTCATAGTCCGTAGTGTATGTGTTTTTTTTTTTTTTTTTTTTTTTTTTTTTTTTTTTTTTTTTTTTTTTANATACTCAAATTTGAAAATCAAAATATCGTTTTGATCTTTGGATGTAATTATAATAAATGTAGAGAATATTAAACATAAATAATTCTCATGCCTTGGCCAACGAAAAAGTAGCAATAAATCAGATTGTGTACATATTAAGCATACATACATCTACTTTATGAAGGCACAGATTGGCAATCTTAAAATTAGGTACAAAGCATATTTTTCTTATAAATCGCTTGGATCAAAAATTCTTCAAAACGTACGGCCTTATTTGCATCACTGTCCTTCAATGACATACGCAAATCTGTACAAACATGGTTGCTTAAAATAAATATCTTTTAATACAGTTATTTTTTTTCAAAATTTTAACAGACGACAAGTTTAAAAATTGTAATCGTCAATATTTTATCAAGATCTCAATTTTGAGTTTCATGGTGATTGTCAAGATTCTTTCAATAAAAAGTTTTTTTTTCTCACTCAAAATTTATTGAGCCATATTTGAGTAGGAGTAGAATTTTGGCTGAAAAGGAAAGAAAGTAGAGATAATCTTTAATTCGGAACAAAATCACGAATTCAACATCTGCATACTGATAACAAGTTACATACCTCATCGTGGTTTTCCTCCTTCTTGGCAGTGTCATCGTCATCACCTGAGCTGTCACCACCAGAACTGTCTGCCGAGTTGCGCTGTTCTTTGTTTTCATCTGACAGTGGTCTTGTTTTAACTTTGCTTGCTTTATCAAAGCACTGTAAACAAACTCTTACAGCCTTTCTTTTACCGGGTGTGGCTAAAATCAATTTTTTATTGCTGCACGGACCACACACGACTGCACCGCACTGTCTACAGTGATGCTAAAACAAAATAACAAAAGTTGAATTTTTTTCAACTGTATAAGTTACTATTAAAAGAGATGGTAAAATTACCCTTCTAATTAAAACTGTAAATTGTGTTTTGTGACAACACATGCAAGTTGTAGCTTCATTGTCTGGTACCCAAACAGCAGCATGATTTTCAACTGGTTTTTTACCACCTAGAAAAACGTAAAAATACAATAGAAAATACGATATAATTTATTACCAATGATATACATTGAGAACTTTCGCCTCACTTTTTCTCAGCAGATCTTCAATACATTTGGTGATGTGTGCCATCCATTCCTGTTTCTCTGTTGCAGTGGCTGCATAAACAGCAAAAGATTTGGTGACGGTCTTTATCAGCCATCCGTTTCTGTATTCTGCAAGATTAGAAAAACAGGTCGTAAAAAAAAAACGTTATCACTGTGATTGGAAAGTGAGTATTAATAAACTTACGTCCTTCATCGGTTAATGACTCAAGTTTAACTTCCTCAAGTGGGATGATGTGCTGTTTGTTATACTAAAATCCAAAAATATTGTACATTTCGAAATAACGCTTTCATCACAATAATATTCATCTGAAGAAACATCGGGATAATTGTGACACTGACCTTCTTTTTGTTTATAATTATGTTTCCATAGACAAAAATATCGTTGAAGAGAAAAAATTGCCGGGGCTTTGGCTTTTTCCTGCACATTTTTGTCAAAACTCCTTCACCCACTAGCACCCTTCCCGAAACAGCCAGTGGCTGCAAAAATCACAAAAATCGTTGACAAATCATGGCATCAGTGAGATGTACGATTACAAATAATCATCAAAGCACACAATGCGCGACAACATACCTGTCCCGAACTGCCAAAGCAGCTCTCCACCATCGCGATCCGCCTAGCATTTGCTTCGCTGTTTACTGCAAACGGTTAAAAAATACATAATTAATTATTGTTACACCAGTCAAACCCATTAACAAGTACTTATTCAAAGGCTACAAAATGACAAAAATAACGCAGCCTAATTAAGGAGAGATAGAGCAGACAATATTGCGCGTAGTCAGGTCGCAACAATTGTTGTTATCTATACAGTCTAAACGAAAAGTTGTCAAAATAAAAGGCATCAGGCCCAAAAGTTGTCACTCTCTCTCTCTCTATCTCGCCCCATCTCTCAGGCGCGACAGTTGTGTGTCACTCGCGGCGTTCCGAGCCCATAACGGGCGTATTTTCTTATCAAACTGTACGTCAGACGAGCGCAACTAGCCGTTAATGATAGCGTAATAACAATAAACAACAAAAGCAAAGGTTAAAATTAAATAAATTGTAAGGGAAAAAAGGGCTCGCACTAACCCAGTCGGTCAACCATGATTCTCTGTGTTACTGCTGAATGTATGATTCAACAAGGCTGGCAACGCAACGGCAGGAAACATCAAGTTGGTATACATTAAAATGAATCACGCAACCCAAGTAACCAACTCGAAAATGCAACTCTCTCTCTCTCTCTTTATATTATCCCTCTCTCTCTCTCTCGGAACCACTGCAGCAGCAAAACTTTTGTGTCTTTTGTTGAGCGGCGGGGGAGAACCGTGGCCGCCGTTGATGTTTTGAGTTCAGAGATTGTGCAGAGCAGGGTGTGGACACTGCACTGTATTATTGTGGTGGGTACTCTATATATATATAGGTATTTGATGACGTAGGCGGTGCAACAAAAAAAAAGAAAAGAACAGAACGGGCGGAATTTGATTTGAGTTGATGACTGCACGACGCTTACTTCAGGCCACAGAGCAGACGAACGATCGCCGAGTCGAGTGAAGTTGCGAACTCATCGACGAAACTATAAACAGTGTGTGTGTGTGTAGTGTATGTATAATCATATGACCTGGTCATCCGCTCTTTCGTCTCATCTTCTGGGCGTTTTAGTCCTCTGCAAAGTTTTGTGTGCTTTCTAAGAGTATAGATCGCCAGTTTATAAAAAATTGAAGGAGCCTCCAGCTCTGTTTCTTCGATCGCGAGTTAATTGGTGTTGCTCCAAAAAAAAGAATGAAGGTCTGCGGCCCAAAGTATGCCCTGTGCGGTCTCGTTATTTCTGTCTGGGGCATCATCCAACTTGTAATTGTTTTTTTCTTTTACTTTTTATGCTTCTTATGGTTGATAATATTTGTCTATGAAAAAGATCATTGCTGTAGATCCTTGAGGTCACAACAAAGGTTTACTAATCTTATTTACATTTATTGTAGCTGCTGATGGGCCTATTCTTCTCGTTTAGGAGTGTGGCACTCATTGAAGATCTCAACCTGGAGGGCGAAGACATAGACAGTGTTGCTAGTTTCTATGCTGCAGCCGACAGCAGCTTCAAAGCCAATGCACACAATTGCTGGATCGCAGCTTGTATATATGTTATAACATTACTATTCTCTGGTCATCAGTTTTACCTCAACTCAAGATCATCCTTGAGTGTCTAAGCCAAAAGTTTGTATCCCGTTGTTGTTGTCTTTTTAAAGAAAGAAGAAATGTAAAAAAGCTCAATGAAGTTCATTATAAACCAAATACCAGTTAAGTTGGTATTTTAGTGCTTTCTCATAAAAGGAAGTCAAAAACTTGATTTTAAATGCATGTCGTATTTTTTGTTACAACAGTTGTACTTCGTATCTGTTAATAATATAACATTTATGTAAATAAGCGTATATTACCAAGTAAACTGTTTATTTGATTTGTTGAAAAAAGAATCTTAATATTAACTATTGCATTCCCAGCGTAATCATACTATGATTTAACTCTTAAAAAAATGTACAATAATAAGCGTTTAATTTTTGTGAGTGGTAAGAAATTAATAAATGAATTTTAAACATAAACTTAAGCCTATTTATTAACGTCTTTGCATGCTTGTTCTTATATAATAATCTCAAATAAAAAAAATCGCATGTGAATGTCCAAAGTAGTGGTCAAGAATGCGTAAAATATTATACTGTATAAAATATATAAAATGTCAAAAAATGAAAATGAAAGAAAAAAAGAAAGTAAAGAATCGGGATTAATATACAGATAGTCGAGCTCGAGCCTCTTATTCAAGAGCACGTGATATTTGATACAATGTGTGTAGTTTACACGTAGGTATTCGTATATATAGATACAGAAATGAGTTACAGTATGTCAAAGCATTGATGGTGTCTGAAGAGAGTACAAGTACAACTGCTAACGTTTGAAAAAAATGTTGCTCACAGTCTCATACTTTGGATTGTGTACAAAAATTTTATACCACTTAATAATTGTTTGACAGCTCATATTATAGATTTTATGATATATTTTTAAACAGTTTTCAGGAGATTTTATAAAAGGTTAGTTGTATTTTTATAATTTTATTTCTCAATATAATGATATTTTACTAAGTAATGCACTAACAACTCTATTAAAATAGTAGATATTGTAAGGGTACTTAAATAAAATAAACAGATAATAGATCCAAAAATGAGTAGTACAATAGAAGAATTAAATGAAAACCAATTAAGAGAACAACACAGAGTTCCTTTAAAAACCAAGTTTGCCTATGGAGTTGGCCACGTTCTAAATGATGTTTGTGCTTCTATGTGGTTTACATATTTATTAGTATATTTTCATCTGGTACTTGGATTTGAACCTGCAGCAGCAGGCCTAGTGTTACTTGTTGGACAGATTGCAGATGCTCTGGCTACTCCCTTTGTTGGCTATCACTCAGATAAGGATGATAATTATTGGCTGTGTCGATATGGTAAAAGGAAAACTTGGCATTTATTTGGTAGGTCAACAAACTTTTTAATAAATGTTTTTATCATACCGAGCATGGAAATTAATTTTTAATCGGTATGTACATAGGCACAATTTGTGTACTGGGAACATTCCCATTTATATTTTCCGAATGCATTAACTGTGATACATCCCACTGGTGGGCAAAACTTATTTACTATGGAGCTTTTGTGGTAATATTTCAATTTGGTTGGGCCTCGGTACAGATTTCCCACTTGTCACTGATACCTGATCTTACTCCATCCGATCATGAACGCACAGCTCTCACAGCAATTAGGTATTCAATGAGTAAAATTTTCCATCAACATTTATAGAAAAAAATAAAACTGAAACTAAATCAGTTAAACCTTCATTTTTAGATATTCGTTTACCGTTATTTCAAACGTCCTTGTTTTTTCCGTCACGTGGGCGGTACTGCACATCACAAGTGAGGATCCAATGGAAAAAATCGGGCCAAAAGATGCATATAAATTTCAACGAATAGTATTAATCGGAATGTCCATTGGATTGTTGGCAACCTTTATTTTCCACGTATTAGTTAAAGAATTTAATTCACGAGACTCACAAGGTGAGAGAATTGTATTTTTTATCGTAAAAGAGAAATGATAGAAATTTTTTGTCCCAACAGATGGTACTCCACAGCAATCGCCAAGAGAATTAAAATCACCCTTCTCCATATTCAAAGATCCTGAGTTGTATAGATTAGCATTCATATACATGCCCACTCGATTGTTTGTTAATCTGACACAAACCTACATTCCCCTCTATTTACACGAGAGTCTGAATATGCCGGCAACGGCTTTGGCCGTTATACCTTTGGTGATGTATTTAAGTAGCTTCAAAGCTTCTTTAACCATCAATTATTTAAATAAAAAACTAGGAAGAAAGTTGTCCTATCTCATCGGCGCAACAATGGGGATAAGCGCTTGTGTATTCATATGGTTTGGCAAGGGTGACAATTTTTCGAAACTCTACATTTATCCGACCTCGTTGTTGATAGGTAAAGAAATGTTGCACCCACCTCATTTGAATTTAACACCTATGAAACGAAAACTTTTAAAATGTAAATTCACGCGCAGGTTCCGGTGGTTCAATGATGCTCGTCACGAGTCTTGCCGTAACAGCCGATTACATAGGCATCAGTACGGAAAACGGAGCGTTCGTTTACGGCGTTATGAGCTTCACCGATAAACTTTCCAACGGTATCGCCGTCATGATCATCCAATACTTGTAAGTGGAATTTTCATTTATTACTTGCTATTGTTTGATTAACATTGACGCGAAAAGTTTCTTCGTGCGACGATATGAGATCATAATTTTAAACCAAAACTTTTCTCGATGTCAAGATATACTTGGCCTATTTAAATACAAAATATATACATGTACACTACCACGTAGAAGATCGCGTTTCAATTCGACTATTTATATGCACACATTGAGGAGTATTATCATGTTTTAGGTCTCGTGTCGTGAAACTAGGCGATAAAAACTAAGAGTCGCGAAAACAATGATTTATCTTGGCCAATTACCCTACTTGTAGTGCAATTAATAATGAGATGTAAGTTATTTATTCTTTTTCCAGCAAATGCGTCGTAATTTGTACCGATTACTACAAGGGAGTTTTGACGTTCGTTTGCGGCGGAGCAGCTTTGGTGGGACTTGTGATGACACTCAGCAGAAATATATGCAACCGAAGCAACGATAGCGCGATGAATTACAACAATTTCAGCACAACGCGGGACGAAGAAAATGAAGATGGCTCGACTACTGCCTAATGTACCAAGAAAAAAAAAAAAAAAAAAAAAAAAAAAAAAAAAAAAAAAAAAAAAAA